GGTGCCATGGGATCTGCATTTACATTAACATTAGCTAATATTTTCATGTGGAAATGGGAGCGACAAACCATTCTACCAAAATTAGCTTCTCATGAATTATATGGCCGGTTTGTTTTCTTTTACTATAAGGTATGTTCTTCTAAATTTAATTTTTATTTTTCAATCATAGATATATTGATGATGTTTTCTTTACGTGGAATGAATCAGAAGAAAATGTCCAACAAGTATTAGAAGCTGCAAATAAATTTCATCCAAACATCAAATTAGACTATCATATTGGTAAAAGTATTCCATTTCTTGATGTAATTCTTACGAATAATAATGATATACTTTCATCATCCATCTATCATAAACCATCGGCTGAACCACTCGTTGTATCATTCATGTCGGATCATCCTCGACATGTATTTCGAAATGTAATTCAAACGGCTCTCATGAGAGCTGCACGATATTCATCGACATTTGAAGTATTTAATCATGAATTACGTCGTATTCGATTAATGTTATTATACAATAAGTAATTGATTTTGTTATTGTTTTGTTTGATTGCGCTTCTATAGACGATAAATGATCACTCATCCATTCTATTTAGTTATCCATTGAACTATATCAATGAACAATTTCGACGATTTTTTCTTAATTTTATGTCATCATCCTCAGCACTTTTACCATTGATCGATAATGAAAATCAATATTCTGTCTAACGACAAAAATTACTTGCATAACCAACAGCAAAACAAACACAAGTGGATCAGAGTGCAGCTAGAGTGAGTCTTGTTAATTATGATCCGAATGTTGGGAACGTGAACCAGAAAAATGAACCAACAATGCCGATGGCAGTCATAGAAACAAATCAAAAATTTATCTCTAATCTCTTTATTCATTGTAAATATGAGGCTCGACTTAATGGTATGGCACGCGACATACATATGATTCATGATAGCTTCTTCAAAGATACACCTACTGCAGCAATCAGATTGATTGTTGGCCATCGAAACAATCCAAATATAGAATTGGAACTTTCACAAAAAGCGTCCATCATTACGATTATTGAAAGATCCATCGTCAAAACCAAGTAACGATATTTGTTATCTTGAACAAATCATATCACATTGTCGTTTTTATTTTAGAATCCAAACTAAATGAAGCACGACCCACTACGGGATAACTTATGGATTAGAACATATAATATATTGATGACAAGTTTGCATTCAATCTTTTAAAACCTTTTCTGGTTTTTCTCATGGAATCGATTGATTATATTTATCTTAATCAAGCATAAGTGTCTTTTATTTGTTTGTCTTTTCATTCCATCCACTTCTTTTGAATTATTTTAATCAAACTTATTTCTGTTCTAAATTATAGATAGTTTAAATCATCTCTGACCATTATGAATCATAATACAGATCAACAAGAAGAAAACCTAGAAAAGAAATCATCAAAAAATCAACCTACGCGAAAAAAGCAACGTTCCAAAAAGAAATATGGTCGACAAGGACGTATCCATAAACAAATACGATTCAACAAAAGAAATCATCCATTAAAACGGATAAAATCTATACAGGATACTAAGGATGAGACATTATCCATGTTTCAACCGTATTGCATGAGGAAAAAATGTATTCCATTGAATATCGGCACAAATACAGATCCAACACTCCTTTTAAGTGATTATTTAACAATATCCAATACGAACTTTAAAGACATGTTATTAGCAACAGTTATGGCAAATGATTTTCAAACAAATACATTCATCGAATTATTGAATAATGACGAAGAAATATTAACATATATGCGCCAATTGACTGTTTTGATGAATAAATTAAATTATTACAAATTACAACAGGAGCAATGGACTTATTATTATCAACTTGGTGTAACCGAAGGTATTTGTAATGGACGAGTCTCAAAAGCGATTGGCTCAAATGAATTCTATGTGTCATACTTATGGTCGATCCAAAGCAATTGTCAAACAACGTAAAGAAAAATATCAAAAACAACTTGAACAAATGGAAAATCAACTTCATGAATATATGAAGAAAGCATCAACTCATGTGGATATAAATCAACTCACAACGATAGTGGCACATCTTATCCATCAGGATCAATATCCACTACGAATTGAAATGGAAAGACGAAGAGAAATGCTGAAATTCGACGCACACGACTACAGATTGATCGAAATATTTTACAAATTAGAGCCACGACAGACTGAGGTTGAATATAGTATCTTTATTAAATATCATTACTTCACTATGACTATGTTTAGATTCATTCAGCAACAGTTATTTGGAAAGCAACTTCCGCAGAACAAACACTGCGATCTGAAATTGAAATATTTAAAACATGGTTGTCTTTGAGATCATCCTTAACATCCTATACTTATCGTGATATCGGATTGACAACGATCAATGAAATATTAACACAACTTGCCTTTGATCAACAATGCGCAATAACAAACTTGAATAAGTCCATCAATGAATTAAATCTGAACCAAAACTTCACCGATCATATAACGATACAAATCTTATCAAAAGCTGAACAAACTGCACAAGTTTACATGAGAAAAGTTATCGACGAAAAAGTTAAATTATTCTCTATGAAAGAGAAAACTGATGGCAAAACAACGATTGATTCACTTCTATCTGCCATCGAAAATCGTACAAACAACATCATCCAACGCGCTCATTATAATACAAAACATAAACTCCAAATGATATGCAATCAAATGGGCACACATAAACTTTGATAAAAATCTTTTCAGGCTATCCCTTGCTATTCGTGGAATAGTTAAGCAAATGAACTTGCTCAATAAATGACACTATTTTCTTTTAGCAAATAGTTAATTACCTATCAAAAAACATCCATCTTTATCCTTTCGTCTACATAGAAAAATACATTAAAAAATTTTAAATTAAAACTTTCTCTTTCAATATTCACCATTCTAGATATGTTTTGACCAAAATAAACACGATGACATTAATGCCTACGAAGATTTCTATGCGATTGCTTCGAACATTTCAAAAACTATCATATTAACAATTATCGCTCACTGTTGACCACTAGAAAACAAGAGTCAAAAAGATGAATGCATGAATGTGCCATCATATTCATCATTGCTACAACTGAACAAAACAGCATCGACAGAAAAAAAAATCACTATCTCTTCCAAGTGAATGACCACAGAACACACCCTGAATTCCTCTACACGAATACAACATATTTCTTTCAATGCTCAAGAAAACAACACTGTCACCTAACAATAACACACGCTCCCACAACTACAGCTTAATCGAAATACCGGGTATCGTGATAGTCTTACATACCTACATCCATCCAATTTCAGTTGCAAACTTCTTATTCAAATTATAATAGAAACATGTCGTATGACTTGTTTTATAGCTATTACTACTCTGTGAAATTCATGTACATGTAGATGAGAGATATTGTCTTATGTAATCATATAGAATCCACGATTTTAGGCTCAATACTCTTAATTAATTATATTATTAACTATATTTTAGATATTCAATAAGTACTATCTATATTAAATTTCGATTGATTTTAAATGACTGAACGAATTCCTGCCACTACTACTGAAACAAACGTATCGTTATCATCTGATGACGAACTAGAAAGAGCAAGTCGTTATGACACTGTTAAATTCGAGTACAAGAACAACAACATCAACGAAAATGACTGGTCTTCGTCCGATGATAATGATGATGATGATGAAGGTGATGACGACGAGATCACTCATCATCATAAAGAGCCACCATATCTCCAAAATCTTGATTGGATTACTGGTCCCTATTCTCTTCTTCATGTTCATGGCGAACCGATGAATCAATATGATCGTCGAAAGGCTTGCTTTTATCGAGAAAAACTTTTATCGATTCGACATCAATTATCAAATGATCATCGTATTTTACGGCCAAGATATAAAGAAACTGGATATCATTTGGAATCAATACACACATTTGATGACAAAGTCTACAAATTCATGACACAAACAGGCATGTATTCATTGGTTTATAAAAACAGTTGTTCCTATCCGGATGGAAGTCAAAATTGTCTTGCTAAAATCGTTGAACAAGTGGAAACAATATTGGACAATTTACACGGTTCCAATTCTATTACTGAAGCACAATATATGAAGATGAAGATCGATCGTTCCTTGGTACGAATAAATTATGTATACTTCGTCTCAGAAACACATAAAGTATGCTTCATTTTCTTATTTTTTTTTCAATTTTTATGTTTTTATTTTGCATTAACACATATAGGAAGAAATACCAGTTCGGCCGATC